AGTGCAATTTGTTCTGTTGTTTGTACGTATCGTTTTGACCTTTCTGTTCCGTTGGCGATGAGGTGATATATGTCCGTAGTCCAAGAGGGGTCTGCATATCGCTTTGTATATTTTCGTCGAGGTATTTGTACTAATTCCTTTGTCCTAGTATGTTCGTGATCAAAAGTGTTTTATTCTTTTTATCATTTCTGTTCTAATGTTTCGTGTGTGTTTAGTGAATTTCAGTTTGTGGTCGATTGTAATCCCAAGATACCTTACGTCGTTTTGCGGTTGTGTTATTTTTTCGTCTGCAGTTATTGTGGGAGAGTCAGAGTTGAGTCTGTGGTTTATGAGCAGAAGTGGATTTTTCGTCGCGTTTGGCCTTAGTCTCCATTTATAAAACCATGTCATTGTGTTGTTTGTTAGTGCTTAGAGTCTTTCAGTCGCTTTTTCAGTAGTTTTGTCGTGTACGATAAGTGCCGTGTCGTCAGCGTATTGTAATATGTATGCCGTTCCGTCGATTTGATTTTTGTCTGGTAAGTTGTAATTGTATATGTCATGGCAGTATATACTGTAGAGAAAGGGTGAGAGCGGGGATCCTTGAGGAAGCCTTTGTTCAAGGGAAAAAGAAAAGGAGAGTGTGTTGTCCATTCGTACTTGTAGTTGTCTGTTTTCTAATAAGTTTTTTATGGCGTGTATTAGATATAGTGTTGTGTGGAGTTTGTATAGTTTGTATAGTAAGCTCCGATGCCAGACACTATCAAACGCCTTGTTGATGTCCATGAATAGACATGCCGACTTTCCGTCAGTTAGGTGAGTTGTTTGTATGTTGTTTATCAAAATACCATATTTTATTAAAATGAGTTTTTTACAATTCCCATCCACTAGTAAGTAGTATTTGTAAAGCAAATTAAAACACCTAGTTTTTTATGCCAAGAATGCGGAAGTTGAGAGAAATCAGTGCCAAAATAAGTGTGTGATCAGGTATTTGCAGATTTTTCCAGAGGATTTAAAGGCAATATTGACCTAATTAATAATTTTTAACAGTGGGTAATATAAGACAATAATAATGGATCTCTTTGTTTTTTTTAAACTTCGTTTTTACTATTTTTTTATTTCCTTTTCATTATACATGCAACATAAAGTAATACTGCTGTCTCAGCACGAGATGAGAGCAATGATGAAAGGGCTGACAGGCAACATTTGATCCTCTGTTCCGGAGCCTGTGATTGGCCCATACTTGGATGTTTTGTGAGAGAACGCTTGTGTGCTTTAAAATATTGGATCAGAACGTGAAAGACGAATGCAACAGTTGCTGCGCACCCGAATTATGATAGTGGTTGTAGAATAGGTTGACAGAAACATGCAGGGTGACCGTAAGCACATGATCAAAAGGCTATTGCGATATTCTTTGGATCCAAAGAAGACGATCTGACCTAACTCGTATTAACAAAAAATATCTGGCTCCTCTGATATTAATGGTCAAAGTTCTGTCAAAATTTGTCTTTTTCGTTATATCGGGAGAATGATACGATGTATGTTGGTGAAACTGGTTGGGAATGTGTTCTTATGTAAGATTCATAGTTTGATGAAACAATTGAGTTCAGCAGCTTTGGACAAGTGGTGAATTCTTGAGTGTCATGATACAAAAACTACCAGAACTTTTTATTTGGTGGATGGAATCAACTGATTTTTCTTTGGTTGATGCACTAATCATTTGTTCACAATTTTGTGCTCTTTGTAAATTCTTGTAATATTCATAGTTTTTGCGCAAAAAAATTATGCCTGTTTTCTAGCCACTTACAATGCTAGCCATTACACCCTGCATATCATTCACTGCGCTAAAACGCTAAAAATGGCAGCATTAGAGCCATTAAAAAAACATAATCGAGAAATGATTTAAATACTTTTGGATACGTTCATACCCGCAGCGAAGTGTGAGTTCTCATAATATCGAGGTGTTTCTAGAATATGAAGAACAACGATTGCAAATGCTGACGATGACTCAACAATTTAGAATGAAGGTTGATATGACTAGAATTTATTGGTGACACTTACGGCAGTAAACTCATAGGAAATGAAAACTAATTTCACGTGATCTTTTTCCAGTATTATTTACGAAGGAAGCATACCGACGTTGCTCTAGAGACTGAATGAGCCGACAGTCGATATTGTTTATCCTTAAAGCTGAGAGTTTACTCTAAACACTTTGCCAGTCTAAAGACATCTATTGTAAAGACAATACGTATAAACGTTGCTTTTGAAAAAAGTCAGATGGAAAGATGTTAACAAATTAAGCAAAGTAGCTTAACCAACTTTGATTGCAAATTTGATTTTCTAAATTAAAAAAAATATACAATTATAAAAGCAGACAAACTCGAAAGTTAATTAGCAAATAATGGACTACAACAATAACTAAATATCAGCGCTCTATATTATAATTTAATCTTGTACATTAAAAACTTTATTTTACTAGATGCTTATTCATATAGTCTTGATTGAAGTTATCCGCTAAGTTTAATATTACATCGTTTGCAACGGACGTCGATCTAGTTAAGATTATCTTACCTTCGATATGATGCTCATAATCTCTTTTTGGTCTTATAGGTGGAGAGAGTAAGAGCTCTCCAATTTCCTGGCTTAAATGGAAGTCCGGCGACGGTTGTTGACTGTCCTAAAATAATAAGAAATATGCGTTTTGTAAATGTTCACTCTTAAGATAAAAAATAGTACTAGATGAATTATGGCTGAACTAATTTTAAGCAACAGTTTTCGGACAATCATACGAAAAGGGAAGTTTAGAAATTGTCATGTTTCGTGTTAGCAGTGAAGCTCAAGAACAGTTAATTCCGTTTAGCAGATTTGGGCTACAAAATGCCTGTTTGCTTTTGCACCACAACTTGCCCAATGAAAAAGATGGTATAATAGCGGGCGATGGAATGTGGATATCTCAGTTTTAATTTTTAGATGTTAATCTATATTTAATATATTAAATATATATAATTTATAAGCAATAGGGAGAAATTTCTCGTTAATCCAATATTCACATCAAACCCATGATTTACGAATATTGGCTTTTAGCGTTATTACTTTCTATTTAAAATTCTCCATAAATTCGAAGTATCTAAATTTATGTTAGATTAATTCGAGTCAGTGAACTTGTTTTGTCTTGCTAAATCACATATGCAGTTTTAAAATATATAAGATTACACATTACGCTACTAGTCTATTGGCAATAGAAATGTCCAATCTGATTAGTGGGCGTGAAAGCAATCTGATTTACTCTATGACCAACTCAGCTCCAATTCACATAAGGGTAGAGCGCAAGCCGTGACGTAAACTTAGAGAATTTGCTGAGTCATTTGGCATTCCAATTTGGTGCAAGCGCAATTTAATAATATCCGAGGTAGAGTCTGACATATATTGAAAGTAGGCGGTATTTAATTTCAATCAATCATAATTTATGCTAAAAATACATTATATGAGAAGTGGTGCTGCAAATATATAATAATTTGCATAATCAAATCAAGTGAAGCCTTATTAACCTGAAAGACGGGCGACAATAAAACCGATTATTGGGAAAGGTTGTAGTCGCCTTCGGGTAGTACATGTATAATTATTTCTTCCTCTTTTAATGCCCTTCGAGTCAATTCAATTAATGTTTATTTGAACTGTAAAATGCTTCGTTTGATTCTCGATTCCGTTATACAGCTGGAAATGTCTTTCGTTAAGCCAAATTAATCTTTTGTGTCAACTATATTTTTACAACGGAATTTGAAACTGGAATTTAGCGCACTAACTGCAAATGAGCTCGATTCAATTTCGTGAATACGCTCGTTACAGGCGCTGGTACCACCATAATCAGGTAATATCGCAGCAAAGAAAATACTGCATATCCCATTTCACATTATTTACTTATTCTATCAATTGCAGTCATAATTATTTAATTTGAAAAAATGTTTCACATTTCACACATTTCAAAATATTTACCGATTCTTACTCTTAGCGAATAAAACCCGGCATTCTTTCATTTAAATATTTCCAGATATTTGATCATCTATAGATTTTGCAAAACTAAATTTGTAAAGTAAGATCTTATTTTTGTGCCCTCGCACCCCACTGTTATGCCAAATCATAACAGTACAAATAGTTTGCAATTCAAAACAGGTATCCATATTGGAACACCTGTTTCGTGCAAATTCATAACGAGTACCTAAGGAAGAAATGCAAAAATCTTAAGGATATGTGAAGGTTGTCAAAATATTGAAAATAAGCTCATATTTGACAGTATCATTAAAAAAACTAATCTCTAATTAATCTTGCATGCATATGGCAGACGGCCACCATGTTCTTTTTTAAGCATTTTGTACCAAACCAATAGTTTAATAGATTTTGTTAGTGACTGTTGAGTGAAACTTATCCCAAGCTGAAGATAGAAGAAGCTGTTAGATTGTTTCATATATCTAATTCAGAACTATTCCTGTCAGTAAAATATGTAATGCAATATAATAAAATGTATTGCTTTATTTGTATGTTTCTTGGACAATGTATGTTTCATATTGTTAGTTTTTAAAGTTCTTAGGAATGCTGTCCTAATCATGAGTTTTTAAATAAAAGGTGTTTGTTAAATTTAGTTTTAATAAATGTATTTAATACCAAATATTTTACTAAGTCTTCGCCAAAAAAATGCCTTTGTTCATAAAGTATCCGCATGTTGCAGCAGCATTAAATGGCTGACAAGTAAATAAATTGTGTAAAGTGCACTTTCTAAAAAGTGGTCCCAGCAGCCTGGAGCAGCGAAAACCAACACCCTTCTGTCGCAACAGTTAAGAAAGGATCAACCCGGACAAGCAGCTTTTGACTCCTGGCGACTCATCGCAACGAAGAAGCCAGCAGGACAAATTGGAGCTACGCTAGTGTCCATTACAGACGACAGCTCACCTGAATAGTGAATCAATTCCGCGATTCTGCCGTCCGGTACAGGAAGAAGACTAGATAACATTGTAAGTCGATTATTTATGTTAGTTGTACACCTCTTAATTAAGAAGTTTTGAAGCTAAATGAATATGAATGAAAAAGATTAAGAAAGTAACTTCTGTGGATATCACTTATCCAAAACGCACATCACCGATTACTAGTAACACTAGTATGGTATTAATTCCAATAATAGTGATTCAACTAAATATTAGATATATTCTGATATTTATAAAGACATTTCAGTCTTATTTGAAGAATCTAGACATAATTGTAATTTTAAGGAATCTGTCAAAATGGCAAAAACTTCGTTTTCGGAATAAGTAAACGTTGTTCGTCCTAATACTGCTCCATTACTTTGAATCGCAAAGCAAAATCGAAACTAGTCACACACAAAAATTGCGGCAAATTCAAATTCGGCGCTCTTGTTGAGACACCCTTTAGATAGTTTTTATCAAAGATATTTGAGTGAGGACGAATCACAACATGAATATATGTATAATGTTAGCAATTAAGTAAAAAATTGTAGGTTCAGTTGAATATTTTATTTTAACGCGACCAGATTTATTGATCTTATAACAAGAAGTTAGGTTAGCTCTAAAACAATTTAATCAGATTCAGTAATCCAGTCACACGAGCTAACCTACAACAACAATATTATTTCTATCTAAAAAGAATGAATTCACTCAGGATTACATTTAAAAGCTTAAAGCTTTGGTCACTCAAATTAGTACCAAAACGTATACTGAAGTGGTCAATGTTGAGACACGAACCATTTCAATTGCCCAGAATGACTTAACGGCAACTCAAAATCTTCTAGCCAAGTTTTCTACCGAACTAACAAGTTTATGAGTAGTCCGAAACCCACAAAACTTGGACACAGCTATTGATATTGTTACCAATTACGAAATAGTTCAATTAAAAATAATGTTTAACACAATCAAGCTAGATCAGATATAAAACCTTCAAATTATTTTCTGCGAAAAGAATTTTTTAAACCATTTACTCCAAATCCTGTAATAAAGCAACCTTTCCAATTCAAACAAAATCAACATCTCCAATTCAGACAAAATCAAACTTTCCAATTCAAACAAAATCAACCTTTCCAATTAGGACAAAATCAACCTTGCCACTTGAAACAAAACCAACCTTTCCAATAGGAACAGAATCCCTTCTTCCAATCTAATCAAAATCAGCCTTCTCAGTCTAACCAAAAAACCTTCCGAGAATTAACTCATCTCGAAGATGAATCTAATAAAAATTTCGATTTTTTTGAATACCTAAATGAATCAAAATCGTATGATCAATGTGAAGAGCACGGATACCCTGAAGAATCCACCTTTTGAGAGGAAACTCCAACTGAACAATTGGAAAAATTTCAAATGCCAGCCCAACACTAAAATAATGGATACATTTGAATAGTTTTCAGACTAATCAATTGTCATTCATTGAAATTCCCAACTATAGCATTCGTTTACTAATAGATAAACCTCGGATTAAAGGCAAATTGCCTTTTTTTGCCTATTTTGCTTATTTCAAACATTTATTGGACGTTTTGCCATTTTCAGAAATTTGTGTCAAGTTT